GGTGGCTGACGAGGGCAAGGAGTGATTGCCGGTGCAAAAGAGGCATGTATAAGGAGCAGATCCTGGCAGGCTTCCAGTGGAGGGGTACATGAATGAATCGAATCAACACCCAAAATAGAGAGATTCCAGAGACTTTTGCAGGTATGAGACTGTACATTTGGGGATAACTTATAAGAATTAATTGGTACTACCTATAAAAACAAGACGCGTCTACTTTTCGGTAGTCCGAACGGAATAACTTCATAGTTAAGCATGGTTGACTCGGAGTAATTATGGGATGGGTGACCTCCTGTGAAGTTTTCCCATGAAGTGTGTCAGTGAGGACAAAGCATGCTGAAAAGTCTCGTGTTAGTTTGTGGGGATAGTCATTGATCCTTGAAGCGGTGTGGCGTTACAAGTGGTGTCAGAGCAGGTCTTTCTCCCAATATGGTGTAGTTCGAGGACAAACCAGACGGAAGCTAGTGGGAGTGTAACATCCTGGTGGTTGACAAGGGCGGAGAGTGATCGTCGGTGCAAAAGAGGCATGAACAAGGAGCGACTCCTACAGGCTTCCAGCGGAGGGGTACGTGAACGAATCGAATCAACACCCAAAAGAGAGGAATTTCAGAGACTGTGCATGTATGAGACTGTACAGTCGGGTATAAATTATAAGAATTAATTAGTACTACCTATAATAATAAGATGAATATACTTTTCGGTAGCCCGAAATATAAGAACTCCATAGTTAAGTGTGATTGACTTAGTGCAATTCTGGGATGAGTGACCTCTTAGGAAATTTTTGCAGGTATTTTGTAGGGATAATCGTTGATTTTTGAAGTGGTCGGGCATTACAACCCTACTATTGTAGCTTCTGATGAGACATTATTACTTTTTCCTTTTGGCGACGATCATTATTTGCATATCAGATAACCAGGTTGAGTGGGTAACTGATACAATATCTTTTTAGCATGCTACTTCTACCATGGAGCCCTTCATTAGGTACAACGTTGGAGAATTTGGAACAGTGAAGATGAGTAATACTAGTTTTTGCAACATTGTGGAAATTAACAATGTTGGCATAATAACAAAATTAAGTTATACGCTTGCACTAAAGGATGTACAACATGTTCCTTAGTAACGTCTTAATTTGATATTAGGGATTGCTATGAATAGAAAATATTTTGAGATCACTTTTAGCAATAAAATTGAAGCTCACTAAGGGGCCTTTGGTGGTTTCCTGAGGAGATGCTTGTAGCTACTTATACAAGACTAAAGTGATTACATGTCAAAGCGGATTTAATGCAATCGATAATGATTCTTCACCTAATTTGTGGCACAAGAGATTGGGTTACATGAGTGATAAAAGTTTACAGGTACTAGCAAAGAAGTCTCTAATAATCCTTGCCATGTAAACATTTAGATATATATGATTATTGTTTGATTGGCAAGCATCGTAGAGTCTCATTCCAAAAGCATCATGATATGAAATCTAATGTACTAAATTTGGTACATTATGATATTTGTGGTTCATTTGATGTTCCATCATTGGGAGATAATAGCTATTTTGTTATTTTTATTAACGATTCTTCATGAAAGATGTGGTTATTTTTTATGAAGTATAAGGACTTGTTGTTCAAGTATTTTTAGCAGTTCCTGACATGGTAGAAAAAGAAATAGGGAAACTCCTCAAATGTCTCCGTACTAATAATGGAGGAGAGTACACTTTATAAAAGTTTAAGAGTTACTGCTCTAAATATAACACCAGATATAAGAAGATAGTTCATGGAACCCCTTAACATAATGGGATAATAGAGAGGTACAACCACACAATTGTTGAGAAAATCATATGTATGTTGAAGATGATTGTTTTGCCAAAGTCCTTTTGGGGAGAAGTAGCTAACATTGCTTGTTATTTGATGAACAAATCTCCCTCAGCACTGTTAGGCTCAGATATTTCGCAAAGGATATGGAAAGGGAAAGATGCCTTCTACTTTCATCTGAAGGTGTTTGGTTACAAGGTTTTTGCACATGTATCAAATGAGCAATGGTCAAAGCTCGATGACAAGGATGTTCTTTGTATATTCTTGGGTTATGGTAATGAAGAGTATGTCTATAAACTATGAGATCTTGAAAAGAAGAAGATTTTCAGAAGCAATATATAATATTCTGTGAGTTTGAGAATATCACACACTTAGAGAATATTGTAAAGCTTAATCACAAGGAAAAATAATGTTTAATCCTATATTCATTATTTCTTCTTCACATGGTGACACTGAATGAGAAGAGGTTCATGAAGAGTGTTGATCATGATGGTTCATAATCAGTGGATGATGTTGATCATGTGATAACTGAGCAGGGGGAGCAACTCCCATAGCAGAGGTTGTAGAACCACATGTTAGGTGGTCCATGAGAGAATGTCAACCATCATAGCGACATCTCGCTTTTGAGTATATCTTCCTTACTCATGAGGGAAAGTTTGAATGTTTTCATAAAGAAGTTATCAACATTTTGTGCACTAGAATCACACTCATGACTTGGTAAAACTTTCCAAAGGTAAAAAACCATTAAAGACTAAATGAATATAGAAGATTAAGAAGGATGGTAATGATAAGTTAGTGAAATACAAGGCTCGGTTGGAATTGACTTTGATGAGATCTTATCTCCAATTGTGAATATGACATCCATTTGAGCAATTCTTGGTTTGATAGCTAACTTGGATCTTAAGGTTCAACAGTTAAATATGAAGACTGCATTTTTTAATGGTGATTTAAATGAAGAAATCTATTTATTGCAACCTGAAGGTTTTAAAGTCAAAGGAAAGGAACACATGATTTGCATATTGAAGAAAAGTCTTTATAGGCTGAAGCAGGCACCACGACAATGATAGAAGAAGTTTGACTCACTCATGGTGAACCTTGGATACAAAAAAGCTCATCCATAACTTTGTGTATACTTCAATAAGTTCTTTGGCGGTAAATTCGTTATTATTTTTTTTATGTTGATAATATGTTGATTGTTGGGCATGATGTTAGTATGATTAGGAAACTAAAATAGCAGTTATTCAAGTCATTTGATAAGAAGGACTTAGGACCAACTAGGCAACTTTGGGCATAAAAATTGTTCTTGACAACAAGACTAGGAAGTTGTGGTAGGCACAGGAAAAATATTTGAGCGGGTACTAGAAAGGTTCAACATGCAAGGTGCTAAATCAGTTAGCACTCCTATTGGTAGTCACTTTAAACCGAGTAAGAAGTCATGCCCATCTATAAAAGAGAAAAAAGAAGACATGTCAACTATTCTATACTCATATGCAATTGATTGTCTTTTGTATGCTATGGTTTGTATACAATCTGGTATAGCACAAGCAGTTAGTGTGGTGAGCGAGTTTCTTGATAAATCAGGAAGAGATCATTGAGAAGTTGTGAAATGGATCTTCATATACTTGAGAAGAAGCTCCAAGCTTTGCTTATGTTTTGGAGGCTCAAATCCAATCATGGAATGGTACACATATTCTGATATAACGGGCGACCTTGATTGTAGAAAGTCTACCTTCGTGTACTTTTTTACTTTTGTAAGGGAAAGTTTGTCTTGTCAGTCCAAACTGCAGAAATGTTCGTATTATAATGGAGATCGAGAACTTTGCCGCTACAGAAGTTGAAAAAAAACTACTATGGTTGAAAAGATTTCTCCAAGGCTTGGGTCTCAAACATGATGAATATGTTATCTATTGTGATAGTCTTAATACTATTGATTTGAGCAAGAATTCAACTTATCATTTTAACAAAAAGCACATTGATGTAAGATATCATTGACTACGTGAAAGTAGTAGAAGATGAGTTGTTGAAGATTAAAAAGATTCATATTGACACTAATGCCTCAGATATGTTAACTAAAGTTGTTACTTGAGAGAAGTTTGAGTTGTGCAAATAATTTGCACACATAAACTACAAGTGAAGAATTAGATTATGGTTTTCTCCCTTACGATTATGGAATGAGATATTTAGTACGTTTATGACCTTAGCTGGCCCTTAGCCTATTTGATACTATGTTGCCCTAGTGCAATAGAAAAGTAGCTGCAACGAGAATGTAAGAATGATTTAACACAAGAAGAAAGAGAGAGAAATATAGAGAGAATAAAAAAAAGGAGGAGAGTGAAAAAGAAAAAGAAAAGAAATAAGGTTTTCCTGGGTGAATCAAATATCAAAATTTTGTTGGAATGGACTCAAATTTTAGGGGACTGTTCATGGTATCTAGTATTTCATATTCCAACAACCGCTATGTGATTTAGAGGTCTCTAGAATAGCATATATGTTTTCTACTTTAGAGTGTTATTGGTGATTTCCTTCCTCACTTTTATCTTTTAATTTTCATTTGTTAGATGATATTATTTGATTCTTTTATTACTAATAGAGAGAGAACATTGTGATTATGTACCCATTATCATTATTTGGTGATAATGGAGTTTTAGATGAACTCCGATAAAAGTCTCATAATTTCTTTTTCACATTGAGTTTTTCACATTAAAAATCTTGTGTGCCAATTTGTCAGTTGTTGTTTTTGATTTGCTTTCCGATTTGTGTTTACTTTAATTTACTCTTGATTTGTTTATTTGGCCCTCAACCTAGGATTATTTATCACAAGTGATCTATTAATAAATAATTAAGATTAATAATCACATAATATGAAGATGCCAAAATTCTATATGAGAAGAGCCATAAAGTTAACAAAACATTAAGAATCGAATCTCGCAAACATTAAAATGTAATAAAATGAGGAGGTTTCCAATGTTCCATGATATTCCATCGCGTGAGAATGATTCGCATGACAACGTCGTCTTCCTCTAGTACAGCCTTAACAAGGCCCAAACGACATCGTATGATGATTTCCCCGCGCGTGGAATCATTGTAAGAATACGTTGACCGTAAAATGTTACGGCACGGCAAGACATACGGATTGTGTATCTGTATTTGTATGACTGTACATGTGTTCGTCGTTTTCTCAGTGTAATCTGTGAAACTCTGTCTCTCTTCTTTCTCTTTCTTCTGTACTTCCCTCGTGTTCTTCTTTCACACACTTCACGAACTTCATCACATCACACCAACACACAGATTCTATCTCTCTTTCTTTCGGGCATTCATTCATTCATTCATATTGTTCTTGCAAACAAGCTCTGTTACTTCTTGACTCTGTGTATCTAAATGGCAGACACTCACCGGAGACAATGAAGTTTTCCGGCAAGTCTCACCACTCGCTGGCAGGAATTTCTACCAAGACCTTGAACCCTTCACCGGACTCAGATCTTCAACCACTGAAGCCTTTTCAACGGCGAAAACCCAGAACTCCGGGAACCCGGTTGAGGATATACGGGGCTCCGGGTGGTAAACGGAGCAGACCAGAAACCCCTCTGTTGAAGTGGAAGATCCACGACAGGAATGCCGATCCACTCGAAGAGGACCAGAAGTCTGTCGCTGGTTTCGGTCGGAGAACATGCCGGAATGAGAAGAAGCAGACGGAAGTTGCCGTATCCGCACGGAGGCTCGCCGCCGGACTGTGGCGGTTGCATCCGCCGGAGATGACTATGGCTAATAGCAGAAGGCGGTTCGGACCTCAGGTAACTCGGGTAACCCTTTTGGATTTTTCTCTTGTTCGAGATCCCTAGTTTTCTTCATTTCCATGTGAGTGTTGCATATGTTTGCTGTTTCTGAAGTCTATTATTGAGATTTAATCTTTTATGCTGATTTTTTTTTTATAGTTGCTTGATTTTGAAGTCTTACATTGGCTTGTGACTTTTGAGATTCTATCCTTGATTTCTTATCATTGTTGTACAGGTTTCAATTTGGGAGTTGAGAGTTATGAATTAGACTTTCGATGAAAGAAAAAAAACTATCATAATGCCTTAAAAAGTTTTTTTTTTTTTTTTTGGCTAGTTTGCTCGGGATTGATGTGGTTCTATTGGAAAGAAAATTATCATTCTTATTAATGATTGGAGAAATGAGTGGAGTAGGGTTTGTCCGTGTAGATAATTGATTTTATGTTATTATACTTGATGATTTTATTATACTTGATGATTTCTGCTTGTTTGTTTAAGATTTCCCTAGACGCGAACATGTGTTCAGTCAGGGGAAGGAGGAATTAGTTTCTTTCATTCACCATGTTGGGAATACTTGCTTCATTAAATCATAGCCATCCAAATCAAACTGCATTAGATGTGTGTCATGTTTGGCAGAGTGTCAAACAAACACGCTGTAACTATAGTGTTAATAATATTTCCATTATGAAGTCATAATACTTGATGGTTATTTGAAAGTAAGTTCGGAGGACTTTATTTGGATCTACTGATTTATATTCCTTACGCATGGGATTTATGTTATTAGATATCTGTACTTTCCTGTTGAACTAGAATTTTGATTATCTTCCTTCCACATTATTGTCATGCCATTCTCTTTCACGTGGTTAGCATCATTTTCAGAACTTGTTAGGGTTTTCATTATCAATTTGATAGGTTTCCACTTTTAGCTCATTACTGATGCCACTTATTTGCAGCATGAAATTGACCATGTAGGGCTCAGCTTCCTTGGTCGTCCAAATGGCATGAATCATGGTTCTGATATGAAAAATCTATCTCAAAGTCCTTGTTCCATCTCTGGGATAAAGAGGGGACACTTCTCTGAGGTATGATTTTTCCTTATTACTTCAATATAACCATTAGAAGTGTCACAGCTCTTCATAATTGAAAATTATTGAGGGAAGGTCATATACATGTAATGACTCATGTTGAAGTTATACCCTTTACTGCATTGTGATGTTGTTACCTGGCCGGTCATGTAATTACCTGATTTAATCATCATAAGTTCATGCTTTGTGCAGAAGGATACTATTTCATTTAGTTAGGCCATAGATAGCAACAAACTATAATCATAGCAACGTGTGGTTCATGATTTAGTCATGTGGAAATTTTTAATAATATATCAAAGGCCCATCCTTGCAAACACATACAAACATACATATGCACATATAGGTTGACATCTACCCCCACCCCTACCAGCCTATGGGGCGCACCCAAATTGAATGTTGAAACTTGAAACAGATGAATAGAAATGTTATAGAAGAAAAATTTATTGGATGGCATGCATTGGGAGTGAACAACTAATACTAATAATTGCTTAGATCCATGCTATGTATAAATGTAGAGCTTTATGTAAAATGGCTTGGACAAAACACTTTTCACATTTTTTCATGTAAACCCACATGGTGAAAATAGCTTTTAAAATTTCTAGCTGAGGAAAGGGTTTAAAAAGTTTTCTGCATTTACTTGTCAAAAGTGGAACAGTAAATAATTAATTGCTAATTTTGAACCTACTTTGTATTCTTCAGCTTGAGCCTTTCCAATTTTCCAACACTGAAATGGAGGGTGCAACAAAGTGGGATCCTTCATGTTTAAAAACATCTGATGAGGCCCACCATATCTACAGCCACATGAAACTTCTTGACAAAAAGGTAAGTGCTGTATCTGTTGTATCTGCTCTTGAAGCTGAACTAGAGCAGGCTCGTGCACAAATTCAGGAGCTTGAGACTGAACATCGCTCCTCCAAAAGAAACCTTGAGCATTTCCTGAAGAAAGTCAATGAGGAAAGGGCCCAGTGGCGAAGCAGAGAGCATGAGAAAATCCGTGCATACATTGATGACATTAAAACAGAGTTGAATCGAGAAAGGAAAAGTCGCCAAAAGGTTGAAATTGTCAATTCTAGGTTGGTAAATGAGTTGGCGGATGCCAAACTATCAGCAAAGCGCTACATGCAAGATTATGAGAAGGAAAGGAAGGCCAGAGAATTGATTGAGGAAGTGTGTGATGAACTTGCCAAGGAAATTGGAGAAGACAAGGCTGAAATAGAAGCATTGAAGAGGGAATCTATGAAACTTAGGGAAGAAGTGGAAGAGGAGAGAAGGATGTTACAGATGGCTGAAGTATGGCGTGAAGAACGTGTTCAAATGAAGTTGATAGATGCAAAAGTTGCTCTTGAAGAGAAGTATTCACAGATGAATAAACTTGTTGCAGATTTGGAAACTTTTCTCAAGTCAAAAAGCGTCAATCCAAACACAAAGGAGATGAGAGAGGCAGAGTCACTTAAACAGGCTGCAGCTGCAATGAACATTCAAGACATCAAGGGATTTTCATATGAACCCCACAATTCGGATGATATTTTTGCCATTTTTGAAGATGCAAATTTTGGTGAACCCAATGAGAGGGAGATTGAACCATGTGTTTCTCACAGTCCTGCTAGTCATGCCTCAAAGATTCACACAGTGAGTCCTGAAGTCAATTTAACAAGGAAGGATAGGCGTTCCGATGTATTTGTGGATGGCAATGGAGATATAGAAGGAGATGAAAGTGGATGGGAAACTGTGAGTCATGTTGAGGATCAAGGCTCCAGTTATTCACCATACGGGAGTGTCCAATCTTTGAACAAGAATCATCGAGAGAGTAATATCTCAGGGAGGAGTGTGCTTGAATGGGAAGAAAATGCAGGTGAGGAGATACCAATAGCTGAAATTAGTGAAGTGTGCTCTATACCGACAAAGCAATCAAAAAAGGTATCATCCATAGCGAGGCTTTGGAGGTCATACCCAAACAATGGGGATAGTTACAAGATAATCTCTTTGGAGGGAATGAATGGGAGGCTTTCAAATGGAAGGTTATCTAATGGGGGCATCATGTCTCCTGATCATGGATCAGGTAAAGGTGGACTAAGCCCACAAGACCTTCTATACCAGATAAGTCCTCCTGATTCAGCGCATACACATAGAGGTATGAAAGGATGCATTCCTCGCACTGGACTGAAGAATAGTTTGAAAGCCAAACTTTTGGAGGCTAGAATGGAAAGCCAGAAGATTCAGTTGCGCCATGTTCTTAAACAGAAGATTTAGATGGGAGCATAGGCATAGATTGCCCACCTGTATAACTAATGAATGACTAACACAGGAAGCAGTTCATTTTAGATTGTAAAGGCACAAATATGCTGCTTATGGAAAAACTGCTCAGGAGTGATGAGGGGCCATGAATAATTTACATTTTATGCCTCATACTATTCGTGTTTCAGTTCTTTACTATCATTCATATTAAACTTTAGGAGATAATCTTTTCATTCCTTTGTGGAAAATACCTCAAACCGTGGACTATCTTGGGAAAAATAGCTTGCTTTGTAATCTGTGATGACGGGCCTTACTTCATTATGTAGGATCTTCAGAAAAATTATGAGAAGCATGTAACTTATGCTGTTATATAGTATAGTATAGATGATAGAATTATCTTTCCCAGATTGTTATATAGTATAGATGATAGAATTATCTTTCCCAGATTTTGATTTTCTGTCATTGCTGATGTCGCTTAGGATTTGTTGTAGATTGTATTGTGGATGACAAGGATGATTTGTGGTCCCGGGACAGAAAAAAGGATGATCTATTTGTCTTCGTTATTGTTTACTTTGATAGTATGAGTTGTCTAAATATCTAATGAAAAATAATGAAATTGAGATTAGCTTTTTTTGTTTTCCTTTGCTGATTATAATTGTTGATTCAAGTTCCGGCTATAAGGGTCATTAGTTATTACAGAGTAAGTGCAAAAGAGGAACTGCCTAAGAGCTCTACAATGGTAGCCCTAGTTAATGTTTGGAAAACTCCAATGTAGAATTAAAAGGAATTTTCAGTTGACAACAGAGTTAAGTAGAGTAGGGAGACAACCTAACTATTTTTATTAAATACATCCAGGGGAGGGGTGAGGAGTAAGGAGTTTTAAATGTAATTAAGTTCCGACTCATATTAATTCCACTCATAGAGTTGAAGTTTATGGGATATTTGGCCGGCATACAAAAAAAAGAAGAAGAAGGAATTTCCTTAAAAGATCATGATAACTTAGATTAAAGGAGAGAAGATTTATAAATCACGAAATATTGCTCTAGAACTTTTAAGTAAGGCTTTAATATTTCTATAATTAATATAGATAAGTTATCTACGTACATTCCTAAAATGACGTCGTTCTGAATTGAATAATTAAAAAATTATAATAAGAAAGACTATTATAACCTTGAAGTTATTTATAATTATAAAAATACATTGATTTTCGTCCTAAAACGTCACCATTTTGGGTTCAATTGCAAGTTTGGAATTGTTCTCAAAATTAATTGGAAAAACTTCAAAAATTCCTTTACAAGTTTTCTCAAAATCACTTAACCCTCTTCCTGAAATTTTTAATCATTTATCCCCCTACTTAATTTTTTTTTATCACTACCCCATAATTTGATTTTTCATCCAAAATTTTGTTAACAGAGTTAATTTTTTTAAAAAATACCAAAATTACCACTAATAGAAAAAAGAAAAACATAATTATTTCACCAACACAATTTTAGACGAACTCATGAAATATTTTCTTTAAGGTTGCCTTGTTAGAATTAGTAATTATTAAAATTATTTCCTACAAATTCCATTGCTATTAAACACCGTACTCACAATTGTTGGTGTCGTTCTTCAAATAAAATGATTTTTTCAAAAAAAATAAATAAAAAATACTGATTTACAAAGAAAGAGGTGAGAAAGGAAGCTTTTGAGAGAATCCTGGTCGCCACCAGTATCTTCTCTATACGCTACCCCGCCAAATTGGCACGAACTGGAATTTCAATTCCCTCCATTTTCACCAATTTCAAATCCCTTTTATCTTAATTCAACTCTCTCTCTCTCTCTCATCCCGTGGATTTGTTTTCGTTTCCTATGGCGGACTGTGAAGCTCCCTCCTTTTCTCTAGGGCTTGATCTCGCTCACGAAACCCCTCCACATTCTCCAATCAATCCACCCAACCACGACGACGACGACTTGGGCCCACAAGTCTCAGACTCCGATCCCGAAACCCGACCCGATCCGCCACGCCGTATCCTCAAGCGCCTCCGCCGAGGTCCGCCGCAGTCCCTTCCGAAGCAAGTGGAGCCGCCGTCGCGCTTGGACGGCGACGATGACATTGAGGATTTCTCCTCACAAGATGATGATATTGTTCAAGGTTAGCTAACACAATCAATTATATTCTTTAACTGAAATTCAGCTATCATTGGTTCAAATCAATTTTATTGTTTCACTCCTTAACTGAAATTCACGACTTAATGCTTCTGTCATTAGTTCAAATCAATTATATTGGTCATTGGATGCTGTTCTGATTAGGAAAATGGTCACAGCTTCTTCTCCACATGCACTATACATAACCACCCACTAAGCACACTATCACAGCCACAATCACCTGCATAACTGCCCACTACAGTTACTCTCCCTTCAACTGCTTTGGCATCCCCTTACTTATATCACCCCAGCCCAAAGGAATTTCACTATCACTTCTACACATCACTCGTTATTGTTAACTTTTATAAATTTTATCTTTCAGTCAGTCATTGCATTAAGATTCTGCTTTTCTGCTCATTAATTTTTAATAATATCTTGAATTATGAATGGTTTGTATTCTTGATTATAAAGTGTTTTTTTTTTTTTTATTTCCTGTAACATTAGGACGTGCACATCCATCGGCATGGAATCATTCTGTGTGTAGCAGCTCAAAAGTCTCGTTGAATGGTTGTGGAGTTTTAACTCCTCATTCATCTGGCAACTGTAGGGAAAGAAAAAGAAAGCAAGCTTCAGATACTTCAGCTTCTGATTCTGCTAATTTGGAGACGGGCCCAAGAGGGTTGGTGTTTCCAAAGTTAAAAACTAGTCCTCTCCGAAGGTTTCAATTGCTTGATTCCGATTCTGATGATCCAGTAGGTGAAGATGTTAGTGGTGCGAATAAAGTTGATCCTCCCTCGAAGGAAGCAATGCATACCCTAAGCAAACCTGTGACTTCTTTTGAACAAAATAGAAAAACATCATTTACTATGAACCAAAATCAGGATCTTTGGAAAGATTTTTCTCCAGTGAAGAGTTTTTCCATTCCAACACCAGCCTTCAATGAGGTATGTGAAGAATACTTTCGTTCTCCCAAGTACAAGGGAGTGGAGGAATCAGGGATTGATGCATCTAAAAGTCATGATGAGAGATATCTTGGGGTCAATTCTAGCTGCCAAAGGGATCAACAACTATGGGAATCAACAGACCCTCTTCCTCCTGCTCATCGTTATTTTTTTCATGAGGATCCCAGAATTCAGAAGTTAGTTCGCAGTCGCCTGTGTAATTTTTCTCCGCTAGGTGTCAACAGAGTGAATCAGCAACCTAACGTCTCAAATATCGATTACATGTAACTTATATTCTTTTCTTAACCATTTTTATCTTTTGGTAATAATTAAAAAAGAAAACTTTAACCATGTTATACTATATTTTTTATGTGTTTTGGTTTCAGGGGACAATTTAACAGTGGAGGAGCTTCTAAAACGCAGGGAGTTCAAAAAAGTTATGTTAGCAGCTCAACAAGGGGAAAAAACAAAGGAAAAAACTTGGTCTTTGAGGATACCTTTAATGCTTCTGGAGGCTGGGTGGATCCCAAAATTAATTCTCCGTTCAGCCATGGAGAATCTTGTAGACAGAAAGGAACAAAGAGAAATAGCACTAAAACCGGCATGTCAAAAAGAACAAATAAAACAAACAAATCAAACTCGTCAAATGTTTCATGTGCTTCTGAAAACTGGGTGGAACCCAAGAGTATGCCAAAGGATGCAGGCAAAAGACGTGTTCAAGCAAGTGGTCAATCTGCTGGTCATTGGTATACATCATCAGAGGGAAGAAAGGTATGTTATATTTACTTTCTCATGTTGCTAGATGCTGGTCATCCGAAGTTATGTAAACTGATTTGTTATATTGTTTAAAATTGAAATGCAAAAAGCACCCCATATAAGTATGCTTTTGAAGTGTTATATAGATGCAGTGAAAAATTGTCCTATGATTTGATCCTTAGGATTCTATCTTTTAATATAGCCTTATATACTTATTTCCCATTGTTTATGTCAACATCCCATGCCATCAAGATGAATAGTTATGTTACATTGTTACCGTATCTGATATTATATTAAAAACATTTCTTTCTTTCTGTAAAATTCTGCTGCCTATGTATTCATTTTGTAGGATATTATGTCATTGTATTCCATGTTATTCTAGACACAGAAACAACTTACAAGTAGAAGATATCTGTGTTTTACATCTCATGGTAGAAATTAAAGATATAAAGTTGTCATTGCTATCCAAAGGGTGCGGTTAAAAGTGGCTGTTTGAACTTGATGAAATATAAGACTGAAATGTATTTTTCATATATTGATTGACACCCAAAGGGATCTTTATATACAGATTACAAGGTAGTTAAGGAGTTGAAGTAATAAATAAAATACACAGTAACCGAAGAGGCATCACACTACTCAAAGGGACAAGTAGCTAGAAACAAGTAGAAAACTCTAGAATATTCTACACTCCCCCTCAAGTTGGGAGATATATATTGATCATCCCCAACTTGCTAATTAAATCCTCAAAGATGGGTTTGTGTAATCCTTTGGTGAGAATGTCGGCTGTTTGCTCCTTGGTAGGTATATATGACAAACATACACTACCCTCCTCCAATTTTTCTTTGATAAAATGACGATCAACCTCCACATGTTTGGTTCTGTCATGATGTACAGGATTTTGAGTAATACTGACTGCAGCCTTATTATCACAATAGAGTCTCACAGGTAGAGAATAAGATATCTTTAATTCTCCAAGGAGCCTTCTTAACCAGATTCCTTCACAAATGCCATGGGCTAGCGCCCGAAATTCTGCTTCTGCACTGCTTCTGGCAACAACAGTTTGTTTCTTACTTCTCCAGGTCACAAGATTTCCCCAGACATAGGTACAATATCCTGAAGTGGATCTTCGGTCCATAGCAGAGCCAGCCCAATCAGCATCTGTATAGATTTCTATCATCCTCTTGTGTCCCCTTTTAAAGAGCATTCCTCGACCAGGGGTGTTTTTGAGGTACTTGAGGATTCTATAAACAGCATTAAGGTGTTTTTCCTTAGGAGAATGCATGAATTGGCTAACCATGCTAACCGCAAATGCAATATCAGGCCGAGTGTGAGATAAGTAGATCAGCTTCCCTACCAACCTTTGGTATTGCTCCCTGTCAACATCTTTTCCATCTTCAATTCCCAATTTAATGTTGGGTTCAACTGGAGTTTCTGCAGGCTTGCACCCAAGCATACCTGTTTCTTGTAGCAGGTCTAGAATATATTTCTTCTGAGATAAGGAAATTCCCGCCTTGCTACGAGCAACTTCCATTTCAAGGAAATATTTGAGAGATCCAAGATCCTTTAGTTCAAACTGACTAGCTAAACCCCCTTTTAAAGATTTTATTTCCTCCCAGTCATCACCTGTGACAATTATGTCGTCAACATAAACAATGAGGATAGCAATTTTGCCACTATCGGAGTGTTTAAAAAATAAAGTGTGATCAGTCTGAGCTTGGATAAATCCTCTTTCTTTAACAACACGAGTAAACTTTTCAAACCACTCTCTAGGGGATTGTTTAAGTCCATAAAGAGATTTCTTCAACATGCATACTGAACCATCTCCCTGTTCAAAACCAGGTGGTGGATCCATGTAAACTTCCTCATGTAAGTCCCCATTTAAGAAAGCGTTCTTTACGTCCAATTGATGCAAGGGCCAATCAAGGTTGGCAGCAAGTGATAGTAAGACTCGGATAGAGTTAAGTTTGGCAACGGGAGCGAACGTCTCCTGATAGTCTATCCCATAAGTCTGAGTAAATCCTTTGGCAACCAATCTGGCCTTATATTTGTTGATGCTGTTATCTGCATTAAATTTTATTGTGAACACCCATTTGCAACCTACAGTTTTCTTTCCTCTGGGAAGTGCCACGGACTCCCAAGTTCCATTTTTTTTAAGAGCATCCATTTCTTCAAAGACTGCATCCCTCCATTTAGGGTCATTAAGTGCCTCTTGGATATTTTTTGGTATTTTTGTACCGTCTAATATAGTGTTGAAAGCACGAAAACCTGGAGATAACTTTTCATATGAAATGTGATGAGAAATAGGATGAGCAGTGCAAGATCTAGTACCTTTTCGAAGGGCAATGGGCACATCTAGGTCAGCTGTACCAGTGTTCTCAAGTGGATTGCTGGAACTAGGTCTCGGGTCAGAATCCTGGCAGTTTAGAGGATCTTGAGGAGATTTACGCCTGCTGTAGAATTTTCCCCATTTACCGGGAGGATCTCTAGTCTCTGGTACAATTGCTGTCCTTGTCTCCTGTACATTAACTCCCCCTGACTCCAAAGGTAAAGAAACAACAGATGTTTCCAAGGGTAAAGGTAAGACAGTAGAATTATTTTGATTCCAAGACTTGTCTTCATTTATACCAATAGACTCCCCCTGAAGAGAAGTCGAGGGAAAAAATGATTGTGTTTCACAAAAAGTAACATCCATAGAAACAAAGACCTTTCGAAGAGAAGGTGAGTAGCACTTGTAACCTTTTTGATTAGGAGGATATCCTATGAAGACACATTTAACAGACTTATGGTCAAGTTTGGACCTTTGATGTGGAGGAATATGAACAAAAACCACGCAGCCAAACAACTTTGGAGGAAGGGAAGAGAGAGCCCGAAAGGAGGGAAAAGAGCGGGTAAGGCAAGATATGGGAGAATGAAAATTCAAGACGCGAGAGGGCATCCGACTGATGAGATATGAGGCAGTCAAGACAGCCTCCCCCCACAGGTATTTAGGGACATGCATTGTAGACAAGAGGGCTCTAACAACTTCAATGAGATGTCTATTTTTCCTTTCAGCCACCCCATTTTGTTGAGGGGTGTTAGGACAAGAACTTTGATGGATAATACCTTGCTTGGTTAGGTAATCACCAAGAACAGAATTAAAATATTCAGTACCGTTGTCAGTTCGCAGGATTTGGATAGAGGTCTGGAATTGAGTTTGTACCATAGCATGAAAATTTTTAAAAGTGGCTGCAGCTTCAGACTTATCTTTTAGAAGATATACCCAGCATACTCTAGAATGATCATCAATAAAGGTAATAAACCAACGAGTTCCAGATATATTTTTTTCACGAGCTGGGCCCCAAATATCACTATGAATCAATGTAAATGGAGACGAAACATGATAATCTCTAGGGAAATAAGAAACACGAGAGTGTTTTGCAAACTGACAATCATCACAAAAAAAGGAACTTGGTTTTTTGTTGATAAATAAGTTTGGAAGCAGCTTTTGAAGATAAAAGAAATTTGGGTGTCCTAAACGACGATGCCACAACAAAACATCATTACAATCGTCTGATAAACATAAAGAGTGATTTGCAAAAAATCTCTTTTCATGAGAATCTTCTTCAAAATAGTGAAGCCCTTCTTCCTCTCTAGCACTGCCAATCATCAGCCCCGAATCCTGTTCCTGAAAAACACAGGTTTTGGCAGAGAATTTAGCAACACAATGCAATTCAGAGGAAAGTTTACTAATAGAGATAAGGTTACAAGTAAGAGAAGGGACATGAAGGACAGAATTCAGAGTAATATGTTCAGAGAGCTTAATGGATCCTTTTCCCGCAATATTAAAGAAACTACCATCAGCAGTCCTTATTCGTGACTGGTGATAATAAGGGGTATAAGAACAAAACAGGGATGCATTACCTGTCATATGATCAGAAGCTCCCGAATCAAGAATCCAACGACTATTATGATCAACATGAAATGCCATACCTTGTTGAGCAACATGACTAGTTGCCTCAGCAGATTGAGACATCACCTTCTGAAATTGCTCATAATTCTTACCGTTTAAACGGTGGTTAGTAATCTGTATAGCTGGGTTGTCTCCGGAAGACGAAGAACAGGGAAGAGGAAAGACACCGGAAACATTACCGGATATTTTTTCAGAATGCTTATTCTCAGCCTCAATATTTTCAACTTCCATTGTTCAAAATAAAAAAAGTAAAAAAGGAACTCCAATCGTTCAGAACCAAAAAATCACGAAGAGGAACCAACTGGACCCAGCAAGAAGAGTGCTCCAATCGTGATTTAAACCCCCAGAACAGGAAGAGGAAGGCCAGGCGAGCCGTTCTGTGAAAGCCGCGTGACAAACGGAGGCCGGCAGGGCGGCGCGTGGCTCACACGCGCCGGAGAGGCAGTTCTGCAGTGGCGGCGCGTGGCTGACTTTCCGGCGACGGGGCTGACGTGGGTCGACTCGGAAATGGCTTCTGAGTCCAATGGTGGCCTTGGTTTCGTGACTGGAGGGGTCCAGATATGGTTTCTGAGTTATTTTAATAAACAGTGAAAAATGGAAAACGGAAGGAAACGTGGAGGTTTACAATATGACCACAGGATAACCTGCTCTTGATACCATGATGAAATATAAGACTGAAATGTATTTTTCATATATTGATTGACACCCAAAGGGATCTTTATATACAGATTACAAGGTAGTTAAGGAGTTGAAGTAATAAATAAAATACACAGTAACCGAAGAGGCATCACACTACTCAAAGGGACAAGTCGCTAGAAACAAGTAGAAAACTCTAGAATATTCTACAGAACTCCAAGGTTGAAAGTTCGCTTCTTGGAGAAATACTCTTGGGTAGACCTTTGGCCTTCACCATGCCCGGGTCGAATTGCGAAATCAACGTATATATCTCCAAAAAATAAAATTGTTATTGCTTTGATTGTTTTTAATTGATTCAGCAATTTATTCTCTGAATCGTTTTTTCTTCTACTAGTCATGAACATAGAATGGTGATATTGCAAATGCTGCTGGCTTTTGCTTATCTGGTAGTCATTCTTGCAATTCTTGATTTAGTTGTCTTTGAGTTTCCTGTAGACTAATATCTTGTAGTCATATTGTATTAGTCTATCGGATCCTGATTCTTTATCTTCCTACTGTAGGTTTATGTCGACAAAAATGGGCAGGAGTTGACAGGCCGAAGTGCTTATAGACAATATCGGAAGGTACATCGACTTGCTTACTATTCTGATATTTATTGTCCTTTTGGATTGGTTATTGCACTGAATGCCTTTGATGCTTACAGGAGAGTGGAGCAGGGTTCAAGAAATCAAAAAAGAAAACTAGTGTCAAGAAGACAAATTCCAAGAAGAGAAACTAAACATTTGATGGCAAGGCATTTATTCCACGCCTGGCCCACATCCTGTAAATTACTCGTGGATCTTATGACTAACATTACCCTATAGGTCTGATTGGGTTAAGTTGCCATGAACTTCTGGTGTCATGTGTTATGGATGGGAGCAAGGAAGCTAGCAATGTAGCGTGCAGCATCACGTGCGGGGAAATCGATTGAGGGCTCGTTGTCTTGTGTTGCTCCAAGTGGTTCTGTAGATATCGACAGTCTTGCTACCATGAAACTGTAGCTTGAGATATTGATTCACTTTGTCTTCGCATCCACAATGATGCCTCGATTCACTCTTTCTTTTGATTCACCACTTTGTTCTCTTTGCGCTTATGATCCCCATTTGAATAGAAACCACTACATAGTGAGCTTCTTGCCCCTTGTTAATTCTGCATCATTTCCCTTTTCGGGTATGTTTAGATGAAAGATAATGGAAGAAAAAGAAGGATAAAACAAGGTTCAATTGAACGAAGACATTTGAGAGGACCTCTCCTTCCCTCTATGTTACTTCGTTTAAGTGTTCTGGCTCTCTCTATGCTGTTTACTTAAATTGATAAATACTAGGTAATGAAGCTTGCAGGCGATGCACAAATCTTACCCGAAAATTAGGAATTTACCTTGCAAAACCTTTATGTCCTTTTTAAATTTTTAATGAAAAAAGGGATTGCAGCATTGCATTTATTTAATAATACTAATTCTATTAAAATGTAATAAAGCCCAGTAGTAAGTTTAATTTTCAAATCTGCAGGACGGTGTATCAAAAAAAAAAAAAAATCAGCACGACGGGCTGCGAACAATCGGGAGTAGGGATAAAAATGCCACAAATACGACAAATATGTCGTATATAAAAAAGTATATATACATAATTCGTACATATTTTCTCCCCTGGAACAGAATCCATTTGAAGGATCTAAAGAGCGGCGTTTGGCAGAAGATAAATTTTTTTTACCAGGAAATTACAATTACTAGCAATATAGTGAGGAAGTAAGTTGAAAAGTTAAAAAAAAGTTATTTGGTAAGCCCAAATATTACCAGAAAAATTAATTTAAGTTTTCTCAGTTTATGTTTGATTGAAGGTAAAATATTAATTGAAAAATAGTTAAAATTATCAAAGTAACCCTTACCTATCAAATTTTGGCACATTATTTCAGGAATATTTGTGTTTGAATTTTCGTTCCCAAACTTTTTGTTTCACAGCTAAATCAAAATACCATCTTCTATGTAATATTCTCAAGTAGTAATATGGATAAAATTTTACACACAATGTCACATTTCCATGCAAATTAGAATCTTGGGCAATTTTTTTGAAAACTCCTACCAAACATGATTTTCTTTGCATCTCATGTGAACTTTTCCGAGCAACAAAATAAAACTATCCTACCAAACACACCCCAAGTGACATCAGAAAAGGTTGGATAACATATCAAGATAAAAACATTGGACGCTTTAAAAGAAAAAGATTGGACTGGTAATTGCCAATGACTTCATGTATTTAGAATTGGAAAAAAAATGTTTGTCTTTTTAGTTAAAACTAGTCTATTTTATTTAAAATTTAAATTAAAAAAATCTCTTAGTTTCTATTCTTATGATTTCTATTGTGTATATCTTTTTCTCACTTAAAATAATACAATCACGATTCAATATTTTTAAGACAAACACTAATCTATTTAGAATTACCTCTTTCAACCCTCCCAGACACGGAAAAAAGTGGTAAAAAAAAAAAACTATGGTTGTCAGCAGCTATCAGCTAAAGAAATTTAGGTCTTCAGTTGGGTATCACCACATCATTGTCTTCAACGATGATTAGAAGTACTCTGATTGTGTTCACTCTTGTCTTCTGGAATTGGAGAACCTTTAGATCCCAATATCCGTAGGCATACTCTGAAACCCATCAAAATAAAACATTCATTAGTCTTGAGATAAAATCAAGTGATATTATGACAAACGTGTTAATTGGAGTATATGAACAGTGCTTTGCACCAGCGGGTGTATAATTTAGACCCAACTGAACAATCATGGTACCCAACAATTATACACTTCTGAAAAGGAAACCAGAATGGTAAAATGTAAAATCATACGAGTTTAAATCCTCTGCCTTGCTCTTGATATCACTTGACCAAAATACTGGATCAGAGCTCTTAGGTAAAGTATCTTGTTGCTGCATCTTCTCTCTTAGCCACTGCTCTGCTTTATTGCATTCATTGATGATCTGAAACATGAAAGTTGTCACTTTAAAGCTGATAGTAAGGGCTGCATACCAAAATAATATTTATTCACCTATTTGACAATATACCAGTTCTTTATTTTGGGCTGGAAGGGAATCTGCAGACATGCGATTTTCTACAATGCAACTTAACAACTCTCTCGTGGCTTGTGCTCTTGCTTCTTCATCTTTATACCGATTCTCGATTGGATCCACCAGCTACAGGAAGACGGAGAATGTAAACAAGTATGGCATGGGAAACATAGAGATTAGAGAAACAAAAATAACCTGTTTTATATCTTCTAGTTTTGCAGAATAAGCATGTACAGTTTCATCATCACCATCATCATAAAGCCACTCCTCAGTCTCTTGCAGACTCCTAGATATGCCATCCCTCTCTTGCTCACTTGCAAAGCCCCGATATGAGTTGAAGAGCTATTTACACATACGCAAATATATTTAGTGTCAGTTTATCAAGAAAAATAGAGCATACACACAAAGAAAGGCTTGTATAAAACATCAAAAGGCAGACGAAGGATAATTTTTTTAACTTCAGATCCTATGAAGATTGGATTGTAAAGTATGGAGCATCTTCACAATCTTAGTTTCAGTCTACATTTATTCATGAGTCATGACAGCAAGTCATGAAAAACCAATTCTTTGGTGACTGTCTTTTTCTCATTTAATCCAATCAATACTTTCACATGAACATAGCCAAAGTTAAAGTTCTAGTTTTTGAAAAGGAACACCTCAAGTAAATATTATGAAAACAAGGAAAAAAAAAAAGGATCATCCAATGGACAGTAATCTATTGAGGCAGAAGAAATGAGAGAAGGCATAAACCAAGTATTTGAATCACAGAACCCAGTCCTTACATCTCATTAAGATGTTGAATCTGTACCTTACTCCTCATTTCATAGATATAAGACTCCAAGGAATTCTTCTTGTCTTTGGTTAGCTCCATTGTTCTGTCCTGCTGGGTCAACTGGAGTTCTTTTTCTTGAGCTTCCAAGATCTCAGCCTTGGTCATTCCACCATAGATATTCTCATTCACTGGTACATGAAGCCTTCTGTTAGCTTTATCTTTTCTTGTACCATCAGCCTGTAAAAAGGCATGATAGTAACACTTTATTTACTCAAAACACCAATGTTTTGATACAATATCACAGAGATTATAAATAAATTGTGACAGACATGTCACATAATTCAACATCAGAAATGATCAGATAATAAAATTTTGGAGTAAACTTTTTCATGTTTAAAGGATGATTTGGAAGAAATATCTAACATAAGAGATCTTCCATTAAAAAGAGGTGTGCATCTGTGTGTGTGTGTGTGAGAGAGAGAGAGAGAGACTAACGTGAGAGTACTTACAGAATGACGTGGAGATTCACACTTTTTTTTATTGATACTATCATCAATGACATTTTCAACTGTCTCAGATATGGGTTCAACATCCATTGCTGTAGAAGCTGAATGATAATCACCAGTTGGAACTGAATCATCCACATGATCTTCGACCAACTGAAGACAGGTACATGTGCAAATCATGATCTCTCAGAAAACAGAACACAATATTGAGAGATAGAACTCAGGCTTCTTACTTACTGTAGCTGATTCGATACTGACAATGCCATGCAAATTTAGTTGAACTTTAACTTTAACTCTCGTCTTAGTACCATGGGATCCATGGAAAGGACCAATCTGAATAGAAGTGGTGAACAAATGCATAAGCATATATAACAAATTGTGGGCATGCAGAACAAATCACTGTTTTTATCATTGTCACAAGGAATAACAGTATATCACAACTACTCGAGTTATAGCATTACAGTCCTGTAATTTCTAGAGGTCAATAATTTGTAATACTAGATATAAAAAACTGAAAAAGAAGGCAAGATAGAGAGAAATGAATGTAGAGAGAGAGAGAGAGTAGGAGAATGAATGAATGAATGAATGCTCCACAATCACACTGTTCACTATTCAATTGCCTAACTGAAAAGTAACTAATCCTATCACATAAATAAGTAGCTAAGTAAATTTTCTCACTTGAAGCCTACAATCAACTGGAATTAGACAGAAGGTCTGGATGGTTGCACATGAGTGCACAACAGCTTCTAGATAACTGAGTCGTAGACAACTTGCAGCTCAAAAGTGAAAGCTTCTGATTGTGATCATGATTACTATCTACTAAACACAATTTTTTCTGTAATCAAACATTACTACATAAGAGCCATTGAGTTCCAAACAGTGAAATTAAGATCCCCCCAAAAAAAACTCATCTTGCATGCTATTCATGAAACACACAAAAGAAGAAGCAAGGAGAGAGAGGGTAATAAGGATTTTTTTTTTTTTTTTTTGCTGGAGGGGTGGGGGTGCGCGAAGAAAAATATAAATCAGATAATAAATGTGCACTAAATGAATTGAACTCCTTCACATGGCAAGATAGTTCGAAAGCAGGCATACTTTGAAGCAACTAATTTTTGGAGACGTCCCAGGTGGTACTTCATCTGGATTAGCATAGAATGCTTCCAAATGGAGCATATTACTGCGCTGAAATGTTAAAGTTTTAACACTAGGAATGGGTTGGCCTTTTGGGAAAAGTACACCATTTGATCCTGCACAAATTGGACTTTCATCTGATGAAAGTCCAATTGAAAAAGGAATAGAATCCTGGACCTGAACAAACATGAGAAATTATATTAATTTTAACTAGAGAATGATACAAGCTATCATAAAATACTTCAAAGAAAGACATGATATCTATGAGAAATTAAAGTCAGATATCCCATTTAGATAGAAAAAAAGAGAAGTAGACAATCTAAATACAGAAAATAAACCTAGATAAAAACATGGGTCAGTTAGTAATTATTACTTTTCTAATAAGCATCTACGAACTCAAAAATCTAATCTGCAATATATATCATATAGGTAGGATAATAATGGATATTTGGTTTCAATATACAAACCTCATATTCTCTGACACGGAAAACAGGACTGAGCATTGCACACTGAAGAGCACAACCACGAACCACACACTCACTTGCATTCAGCGTTCGGCTGAGTTCTCTCTTGAATAGAGAAGTTAATATTCTAGTTATAGCTGGAATCCTAGAACCTGAACCAACTAACTCAACAGAATATATATTTTCTACAGTCAAGCCTGCATCGGCTAATGCTTTGTTGCAAGGAATATAAATTCTCTCCAATAATCCTGCAGCCAGATTCTCAAATTCCTCCCTCTTGATAAAGCCATTAACATCTTTTTCATCCATCAAGCACTCAATGTTCAGAGGCCCCTCTAGATTTGCGCTCAAAACTTTCTTTAACTTCTCACATGCTGAACGCAGCCTATTACATGCCTTGGCACTAGAATACACGTCAATGCTGTACTGTTCCTTAAATTTTGCCGCAAAATGACTAAATAGAACCTCATCAAAGTCTCTCCCCCCCAAGTTCCTGTCAAAAGCATGTGAAAGTATATTCATTTTCCCAGCCTGAAATGCTGCAATGGAGACCTGAGTATCACACTGACCTATGTCAATAAATGCAACATACACAGGAGCTGCACTGGGAAAATCTGTTTTGTAAACTCCATAAGCAAGACCAGTTGCAGTGCAATCATGGATCAACCTCAAAGGCTTCAACCCAACAATTGTTGCTGCATCGAGATATGCCCGTCTCTGCAAGTCAGTAAAGTATGATGGAACCCCAATAACACAATCCGAAACAGAGGTCCCCAAATCGTTTTCAGTTATAGTCTTCAAGTGAGCCAAGAGCATTGCTACAATTTGAACCGGGGTAAATGTATGAGTCTCCTTCAAGTATTTCAAGTGAATCAGAATGCCACCATCTGGGGCCTCAGAAGTTTCAACTGGGAGCATTTTCAGCTCATTTTGAACATCAGGGTCGTTAAATCTCCTGCCTATTAGTCTCTTCACTTGAGATATTGTGGACTTGGGGTGCATCATAGAAGAAGCAGCACCAGCAGACCCTAAAAACCGCTGTTTCTCTCCGAAGCAAACCACAGCAGGGGTTTCACGTTTGGATTCATCATTCAACAAAACATCAATCCCACGTTGCTTCACTACAGCAATGACACAGTTCTCATTCCCAATGTCAAACCCCACTACACTCATTTCAACTCACTGAATTCAATCCAATTCCCCCTTTCTACTTGACCAACAACCCAAAATTCAAAAACTTGACCAGATTCCACAAGGCTGGCCCAAAAACCTAAGCTTCACCCATCACTATCACTGCCAAACAAAAAGTTGGAAACAAACACATCAAAATTGGAACTTTCTATGAATATCATGTACTACTACCAAAACCAATAATTTAAGCCAAACCCATTTTGTGGTTGATTTTTCCTCCATTTCCAAGCCATGAAACTGAAGAAATGCTTTCAATTTAACAGGAAACGGAAGAGAAGAAAAAAAATATGGAGGCAATCCAAAATGAATAACAAGAGAGAAAGGAAGATACCTGATTTGGTGAAGAGGGTTTGGAGAGAAAGATGAAAGGTGGAATGTGGAAGCACTTGGGACTGCATAAGTACGTAGTGATGGTGGAGAGACAAAATCGCCACTTCACTCGCTCAAGCCATATATCGTATCGCCCCTCCAAAATAATGAAAAGCAACACTCATCAACATGCAAATTTCACAATAATCAATTTACGTGGGTGCACATATATAACAATTATTATTATTATTAGGATTTAATTTTTTTTTTATGCATTTTGGAATTGGAGAACGAAACGCAGAAAATCTACGTGGAGGGTTACACAGTTGTTATTCTTATGTTTTAGATGATTTCTTTTTAGTCCTTTTTTTCTTTTTCCCTTCTTTTATTACTTTCATATATATATATATATATATATATATATATATATGTGTGTGTGTTTTATAAGAGTTACGTTGTAGGAAAAGTGATTGTGTAATGTTATAGAGATTCGTTTTGCGTGTCTTAATTTTTTATTTATTTTTTTGTTGTGGAAAGTTTGTTGTGTTATGTTAAAGGATAAAACGAAAACCCTATATATATATATATATATATATATATATATAGAGGTAGGATCCTTTGACACTGGTGTCAAATTTGAAGTTTGACACCTCATCTAAGAGCCGTTAGATCAAAAAAGATCAACGGTGTCACACTGCTTACAAATTAGAGTTGTTTATATTTTTTGATCTGACGGCTCTCAGATGAGGTGTCAAACTTTAAATTTGATACCAGTGTCAAAGGATCCTACCTCATATATATATATATATATATATATATATATATATATTATTTTATTTATTTATTTTTATTTTTATCTTTTTTCAACTCTTTCGTATTTTTTGTTTGAGTTCATCTACCATCGACCCCAATTAATTTAGTAACTACACCCCCTTAATATTTCTTCATTCACTTATTCCATCTCTCCACAAAACTCATTATTATTATTATTATTATTAAAAATATATATTTTTATAATTTTAATTTATTATAAAATTATATTATTTTTTATTATCATAGTTTTTTTCCTTCCAACCCCAAACAATATTATGTAAGAGGAGATAACTTTTATTTTTAATGATTTTAAATCCTTATTTAATGTTATTAAAAAAATCTAAAGTATTTTTACCAAAAAAATAAAAAAAATCTAAAGTATTATAATATATTCACATATAAATTTTTCCCAAACAAAATCCAAATCTGAGTTAAAGCGTGGTTGACTAAGATCTCTGCATAAAGAGTTGAACAACAAAGCTAGAAACAATATTTAGCAGTCAATTTCCATATCCTAACTAGTAAGTAGTCAATGGCATGTTTGTTTTGTATTACTATCACGTTTGCGGCGAATAAATTTGGATTGTAGAATAGCTTATTTGTTTGGTTAAATTTTTGGATTTTCAAAATCAATTCGGCCAAAGTGAATTTAAAAAAAAAATTATACTTTTTCTTTTGAATAGGACTCATAAATTTTTTAAAACCATATTATATTTATATCTCAAAAGTGATTATACTTTATCATACAAAGAAAATCAATTTTTTAAGTCCAGCAAAAAAAAATTGAATTTTTTTAAACTTATTTTTAAATATGATTTCCAAAAACTTCATTTTTTTTAACATCAATTTTTTTTCTTTTCAAAATCAGTCTAACGGCAGTATAAAACAAACATACCGGTGATCTATGCCAAAGTGAGCACCAACTTTTATAATTCTCGTAAGAGTGGCTATACAATATGCTTGCAAGGTGGAACCATTTTCTGAGTAACAAGACAACCCTTCTCTAAAGTGAACAAAGACAAATATATCTTTACTTACTTTAAAAACAAAATAAATTAAAAGAAAATTTTCCCAATTCAATTATGGCCCATAATTCCATAATCATTCTTGCAATCTTGATTTTTCTCCTTTTGTATAAACTTTAAAAAAAGTGATTTTATAAATTTTTTCATAAATTATAATTTTTTTGTTAAAGTATAAACAAAATGGATTTAGTTTAAACTAGCCAAACTGGGGGCCCATCGAATGATTTGCAAGTGTTTTGAGGGTTCTGATGGCCATAATCCCCTTTAGCATTACTTTCTAGATTGATATGATCCCATGTGTTCCTCTCACAATAAAGCATGAATACTTCAAAAAAGAAAAGAAAAAAAAAGAATGAATATTTTTGTTTTCCACAATTTACTGTTTAGAAGTTAAAACCAATCATCCTTTTCAAGTCAACTTTCGTTGCAGTATTTAGCTTGTAAATTAAGTTACTAGACATTGAATAACGAGCAAAAACACTTGGTAAATAACAAGAGTTTAATTTAAATTTCCATATGACCATACAATTTTTTTTAACTGAATTGATAATTAAAAAAAATTAAAAGGTAATTCACTGATTTGAAAAATATTACCGACTCACAGTCAATTCTCTTTAGACCCCCCATAAAAGAGAGAAAATCTAGGAATTATAATGTAGAGCCAACGTCTTAAACATTTTTAAAAAATGTATATTATTCATCCAAATAGTTAATCATCCCTGAAAATCATGCCACATTCTTTACAGCATTAGTGGTTCATGGAATCCAGCAGAAGCTGATCAAACAAATTTTATACAGTATACAAGAATCACCAAAAGACCAAATGGTATTCATAAGTGAAATTTAAAGCAGTTAATTTACAATATCAAGGAAGAATATTAGAGGATTAATCTATATTAAGTTATTTAGCTAAATAATTTGCAGCCTTTTAGAGGAACCTCTCTCAAGCTTATATGGAAGAGGTAACTTAGCTAAGAATTTGTTCTGGCTCTGGAACTTTTCAAGGCAAAGGCCTCTGAGTCTCTGGAAGATGTTCAGCATACAGGTTATGCACCATTTTGACATAGTCATCAATCTTGTCAACCTTCCAATTTTCAGTACTTACAGGAGGAAGATACTTAACAGTTAGAGGGGCTGGTCTAACATGTAAACTACCTTTCTTCCATGCTAGATGAGTTCCTGTCAGGACTATTGGAACAATGGGGAGGCGCGATTGCAGTGCTAAATGAACAAAACCCTGCATGAAAAGTGGAGTAATGGGATATGAAGCATAACCAAAATGACCGCAGCTAATGAACCGGAGTAAATTCATTTATTCTCAAGGTCCTTCAAGTTATGGAAAACACCAAAACTCTGATGATTACAAGACCATGATCACCCAAATTTGGTGAAAGATAACCCTCCTATGAATGAATCATCTACACATTAGTTCCATATGAGAAAACAAAATACTTTTAAGATTAAAAAATATAGAATGAGAATGAATCCTCTTATATCTTATCTTAACATAATCATGTCATGTGAATAATCTCAGTCATTCAATGACAAATCGAGTACAATTTTAATGATATCTATATAAAGGTCTCTTTCTCTAAGTAAATAAATTATATAATGTGTTATCTTCTGGTGGACGATAGAACAAGTGATGAAATTCATATTCTGCATCCAACTCATAGGTAACAAAAAGTGAACTATATCACTCTATGAAGAACTATGTTTTTTATAGGTTAAATGCAAAGTCTAGCTAAGAAGGAGAAATCCCCAATCGAATGCTTGAACTGGCCAATGTAGCTCCAAGTGGTTGGCTAGATGAATACAAGTTTATAATCCTAGTTCTTATGCAATGCCACTCAAATTACAAACTGTAAAGAAAGTGAAGTAGATGATTACTTTTTTGAAAGGAAGTAGTCTTCCATTCTTAGACCTGGTACCCTCAGGAAAAATGATCAGGGACAGATTGTTTTTCACAACTGCACAAGCTGCCTGAACATTACAAATTGCAATGATTAAGAAATTAGAACCTTGTACAAGTATGTGATAGACGACGCAGGAATAATGCTCTGTACCTCTTTCATGGACTCAATAGCTGCAGTTGGGTTGGACCGGTCTATACGAAGATGGTTGGCCAAAACATAAAGTTGCCCAAAGAGAGGATACCATATTATCTGCATAGTTTCTGAAGCTTTGAATGCATTTTTTTCACTGGCAAACTTAATGCACATAATAATGATTTTCAATGCTGCATTGTGTACAAAAATGCACATAAATGCATACATGATAGTGATACACCAATAATTCCAAGCATGTAAGTCCAGTGTTCATGAATTGGAGCTTAACATGAAAAGACATTTCCATAGCTTTGGCAAGAACAAATGCAATCCCAACTGAGGACTTGCACAGGACATTGATCCTAAAGAGACAAGAAGAGTCCCTCTAATCCATAATGCCCCGTAAGACACCACTTATCTTGACCATTTTTTAATTATGCATTCAAAGTGGGGAAGGAAAAATTTATAACTGTAGAGCATTAAAATGTACCTCCTTCTTGGCAATGCCAACAGTGCCTGTAGGAGTCAACCACATTATAAGAAATATGTCTATTGGAGATGCATGATTACTAATGTAAATTGCCCTCTCGTTAGAGTACTCAGCACCTTCAATCTTTATAGGATTACCAAGAATCCACATCTACATCCAATATTTGAAATATCAGTCATAACTAGCAAAGCTGCCCCACAAATTTTAATACAAGTAATCGTGTCACCTCAAAAAAAATAAAAAAATAAAAAATTGAAAACACTTGGCCTTTTCATCTTGTCATCCAAATATAAAAATCAATCAACAAAAAAGATTAGAAATTCCAGCAGCTACTCACTCCAAAAGTGTGAAGCAGTATGCAGAACTAAATACTTAAGGGAGCTTACCAGCATTCTACCAGTCACATGCCCATAAATGTTTCCTTGTCTAACTCTCGCATAAGGCCATGGTATAAACACAACCATGATCAATGCCCATATGAATGTTGTGACCATCATAGACACAAAACATATGACAATTCTGATCCATGATATGATTGTTGGAACCCACCCATCATCATCTGTATAGACATCCGTCCTTCGCCTTTGTCCTGATTCATCTTTCACTAAAATTCTTGCAGGTTCTTCCACCCTTTGGCCAGAGCTTGTATTCATAAAGCTCTCCAACCTTCTATTCCTCAAAAAGGCACCACCTCCAGTATTCTCCATGACAAAATCTGTGAATTTTTTTAATACTAATAGAGTTCACCTGAACAGGACAAAGCAGAACAGCTCGGGTATTAAAATCAATTAAAAAATATTTATTCTATTTGGTTGCTGAGGATCTGATGAACAAGGACAAAGACAAATTGAAATCATCTGTTTGGATAGAGAAACCACGTACGTTGCACAGAACAAATTTATAGACTAAAATCTGTTTCTCTGGTCCATATAGGAAGTAATCAACCAAATAACTTATGACTTGAATATTCCAAAAGTTTTCAGAAAACCAAAACACATTTTCAGGAAAAGCTTCGTAAGGAGAGTGAAAAATGACACCAAAATCCGTTCCTTTCCCAGGAAACTGAACGGATAAAACCAAAAAACGTAAATTTTCCCCTCAGGTAAAAAAAAAACGTCAAAATCTTCAAACTTTATCTATGCACATCTTGCATGGAAAAGTGGGATTTTTTTTTTTCCTTTTTCGCTTTTAATATTTAGAAGGGACTATTCATCAGTTTTTCTCAGCATTCAAACAAACCAACACAGAAAGAGCTTGGACAAGACCCACCAAACCATTCTTACCAAGTATGTGACTTTGCCTCCCGCTCTATCGGAAACTTGCCCGAGAAAGCTCAGGAAAATGAAGGAAAGCAGTAGCAGTCAATCTCTATCAGGGTGGTTGTTGGGAATAGAAGCAAATCCACAAAGAGAGTCAGAGTAATGACAAATAGACAAAATGTATTATGGTATTTATTGGTGACGCTCAGAAGAGGAAGAGGGAGCCTATAAGAATGTGCCTGAGAACTGAGATAAGATGGCATTGAAATAAAGTAAGCAAGGTCACAGTTCCCGAGTTTTAAAACTATTGGCTTCTCATTTTTTTTTGTCTTTTTTATTTAGCTTCTTATACAAATTATAGTAAATTTATGCAAAATCAATTTAAAAGAAATTAAATATAATAAGATATTTTTTTTAATTTTTTTTTATTACATCAATGAAAGTTATAAAATTTTAAACAAAATGGGTAGATAATTAAGTTAAAAAATAATATGAATAATTTAAAATAAAGTAAAAGATTTCTCCTATCAATGAAAATAAATTATCGAGTCTAAAATGATATTGTTTTGTCACAGAAATTTGGTGTTTTTGTTATTCTAATTTATTGCATGGTTATTTTATTCTTTGTCATTATAATTTTTTAATCTTATAATCTAAAATAATGTCGTTTTGAAATTACTGAATTTTGTTTTATATATAGTGACTAAATCAATACTTTCTCCTTTAAAATAATAATAAAAAAAAACTTGATATACAAAATCACATGACTGATTAAAAAATGTTAAAAAGAAGAAATGATTTAAATAGTAAGAACTTTAATTTAAGGTAGTGGAGGGGTATTTTATTTCGATGGGAGTTTAATTAGGGTCGGATTGTACTAGATGTCGTTGAATATGCTGTTTTAACTTTCGTGACGCTTTAGGTTTATGCGGATTTTGGGATGTCCCATGTTACTATGTTACGTGTGTTTGAGCCGGAACTGAATTCTCTACTTCTTAAAAAAAAAATATGATATGAAAATATTGGGATAATTATAGGCTATTTGATCATTTTGTCCCTCATTAATTAATTAATAATCATTTTACTCCTAATTCAAAACTATCCACCAATCTACTCCTCTTTAATCGATTAACTTGCATTTTTAATCGATTAAATGGTTGTTGGGAGATTTAATCGACTAAATCTCCCTACTTAATCGATTAAAAAATCATACAGACTTGTTTCCCTTTGTTGCCTGTTGGGAGATTTAATCGATTAAATAGGAAGATTTAGTCGATTAAATCTCCCAACAACTATTTTTGCCTGTTTTGACCATTTAATCGACTAAAAATGCAAGGTAGTCGATTAAAGAGGAACAGATTGGTAGATAGTTTCGAATCAGAAGAAAAATAGTTATTAATTAATTAATAAGGGGCAAAAAGATAAAAAAATCGATAATTGTAACTATATAAAAATAAATTAATGATTATGATTTAATAATTATTTAGTTTAATATTTTTCTATATTTTTTTATTATTATTTATCCACCTTAATATTATTATAATTGTCCACATAATTATATTATGTCCTTTTCGATACGAGAGAATTGAGAGCCACGTATATATCATTCTACACACAATTGAATCAGCGTCACCTATCATTTGTTTATGTCACTTTCTACTGGATTGAAGATTGATTGACAAGTATTGTTCATTTTTATCATTTATTTTTATAAAGAATTAAAGTTTTGGAACACGAGAGTTTCCTCTTTTTTCTTTCTTTCTTAATTATGGACTAATTATTAGTTTCATTAATTAATTTTAATTATAATATTTACCGATTAATAACTGCTAACCAGTATAACAAGCTCCCATGTTGACCTGTTATTCATATTATATCGTATTAATTTACATACACAATATATTTTAAAGTTAACAAATTATTCATATTATGTTGTATTAATATATATAATTTGCGTAATTTTTTTTTTTGACACAAATCATAATTCATATCAGATCTTGACTCGATACCAACACGCCTGAGGACATTTACCATCCATACAAGTAGTCGTAGACCGAGAAATATATATTCATGTTCGCACATTTAATAACAAGGTTCGGGGGCAAAGCCTTTGAATTTTTTTTTATAAATTTTAAATATATTAAAAAATAAAAAAAATAATAATGAAAAATCAACTAATCTATTACAATATAGAGAAAGGCTACCACCACATAGATAACCTTAGAATATAATTGGAATTCATTTTGAAAATAAATGGGAGACTTCCGGTTGACGCAAGGGGTGCTTCTTAAAAAGTCACCATTTACAAGGAAGATAGCGACTAGGTCTGCCAGTCTATCCATTTACAGCAGTACCGGTCCGCTAGTGGGACATTGACCGTACTGTCATTTTTGTGAGAATAATATTTTTAAATATCACACTTTTGAAAAAATATACCACATTGTCACAACATCATACTTGCTGAGGTACTCAGCTACTATGGACCGGACACGTGACACTTCCTAGGAGGCTTGGTTGCCCAAAATAGCTAACTTATGTAGCAACTTTGGGTTGGATAAGACACATGTTATTCATTTGATCAAAGTAGCCATGATATGCAGCGATTATGGTATACTTTTTTTGATGATTCAAAGTCGCTGGGTAAGGAAGCTAATTTGGCCAAATCTTGTAGGACCAAATTAGCTAACATAGGTAGCTACTTTAGTCTTATATATCAACTCACGACTATACCAAAATTGTTCAGTCATGTCATTCTTCCGGTGGCTGAAATTATTTTAGAATTATTAAGTATTCTATAGTTTACCGTAACTATATTTGGGTATATATATTTAATTCTTCAATATTTTAGAATTATTCAATACGAATTATTTTTCTTAAATGAATTAGTTTTATAAAAGGATTTTAATATTTTATTCAATATTTGTGATGTATATATTTAATTTAATTGTAATTATTTTTGGGTACTTTAAATATTAGGATAAATGATATTTAAATTTTTTATATTTTATATTTTCTTTTAGTATAGGATTAAACCATAAGTTATTTGATATGAATTATTTTTCTTACCCAACGTATTAGTTACGGTAAACTATAGGATACTTAATATTATATTTTTTATTTTAAATTAATGTAAAAAATGGAAAAGTAAAAAAATAACACAGACATGACTGAACCAAAATATAAGACCAAAGTAGCTACCTATGTTAGCTACTTTGGTCGTGCAAGATTGTAGGTCAAATTAGCTTCCTTATCCAGCGACTTTAAATTGTCTTACCCAACCCAAAGTCGCTACATAAGGTAGCTACTTTCGCTTTTTCAGCCACGTGTCACGTGTCCGGTCCATAGTAGCTGAGTACCTCAGCGACTAAGGTGCCGTGACAGTGTGATATATTTTTTCAAAGGTGTGACATTCAGGTATATTATTCTCACAAAAGAGGCAGTACAGCCAATGTCTCTCCGCCAGTCTATCCAAACTATAGGTCACCAACTAAATGGTACCCCACCACATACTATTCAATTTTTTTTTTAAAAAAAAGGTTTATGTCCGCAAGTGCGGACAATAGCGCATGACTAGGTCCGCCAGCGCGTACAAGTAATTGAATATTGACAAATAATTCTTGGGCAATTTTTTAAAAAGACATATAGGATAGGAAATTTTTTTTGGATGAAAATCATTTAAGGAAGTTCATTTGAAATAGCTCATAAATTCCATGTGATTTTGTCTTAGAATCATTTATTCCTTGTGATTTTTTTTACACCTATATTCTTTCTAATTTTTTCCAACCAAACCAAAATTTAAAAGTGTTAGAAACTTAACTAATTTAACTATTTTCCCCCTTAGAAAAAAATATGGAATGTTTTTTGTACTATCTTCTTTCCCATTCATATTAGAGTTTGTAGGAATTACCATTTTTTTGGTGGTAAATTAGGAATTACCATTTGCTCAGACAATACCATTAAGCGTTTCTTGAAGAGAGTAGGGAGCAATGGTGGAGTTACAAAAATTTGTGAGAGTGATGAGCGAAAGAAATAAAACTTACACTAACTTAAGCAGGGTAACACGATAGTGGATCAATACAAATCAAATTTGAAGAACTCTCTATAATCTCTTTATACATGAAGAATAATAAAGACAAAAGCTGGAAAGCTAAGTTTGAGGGAGGTGAACTTATCCTGCACTAGTGCACTACCTTTCTCTTAGGGAGCGTTAGATACGCGTCATTCTTCGAGATTTTTGGGAAACTGAATTTTTTTAAATTTTAAATTTTCGGATATTATCATAAACTGAAGGTAAAAATCATATTTTTGAAAATCGAGATTTCCGGATAAAAAAAATTCCTCCTCTATCAAACGCCCCCTTAAGTTTATATGAGGTCTAAGACAAATATTTGCATGAATTTGGAGGGAGGGGGTGGGGGTGGCAATTGCCCCTCTTAACCTCTTCGTGAGTATTCCACCACTAGTAGAGGGTTGTTAGTACAGAGTGAGACGAAAAAGATTCGATAAAATACACGGTGATAGCCCATTGTGAGATACGGAATAGATAAGCTTCATCTTAATACTATATGACAACCTTTTATTATGTTCTTCTTCATCGGAAGGATTGCATTACTTCTATATAATATAATTTTGTTTAGAAATAACACATATGAATGTTGAAGAAAATATACTGCGTAGAGAACATAATTTTATGTGATTAATTTTGATTTGCATGGATTAATAAACAGTGTTTAGTTTGGAGAACTAAACAATTTTGGGGGGCTGGAAAACTGAACAATGGAATATAGAATTGCTACTACAACCTACAACGACATTGAAGAGGTTTTCTCTATTACATCAATTGCTCGCCATACTTAACAGACCAAAACAAGTGTCAATATATAAAAGGTTTTCCTTATGTGCAACTTTAAATTTTAGAACGAGGGAAATTTTATACACAAAACACTCTAAAGTGATTTTTTGAGGGATAAAATGGTCAAACTCACTAAAATTTTAATAGTGTTAAATTAACATGATTTTGGATGAAAAAAATATAGGGAAAATAAATGATAAAAAAATTACAAGAGAATGTGTGATTTTAAGGACCATACGAGGAAAATTTTCAACTTTTCCAAGCTTATTTATCGGGGAAAACCATAGTCTTTTTATTCTTTCTGAAACTATTAATTCTTTTGATAATATAATAATATAAT